ATAACTTCGTTTGTAAACATACGATCATAATGAAATTTTCAGGGCGTAATTATATTGTGTGTACATTCCATCTACAATTCGGTATTTTCCTTGACCTCGTCCTTTATGAGTACAAAGATGCTTTTATTAGTTTGAGCCAATATTACTTCAAATTGGAATACTTCGCATAAAAGAGCGCTACAGCGGATTCAATTCCACTCCAACACTTTAGGGCACATTGACAGCAGAACATATTGCATGGACCTTGACCGCAGCAACGCCCAGCCTTACGTGGACCTCCACACAACTCTGCGACACATCTGCCTTCCGTTAAATATGCTGGATAGTATCGTTCACACTTATCGTCGGGACTTATAGAAAAGTGAACATGAATTGAGTTACAGCATATCGCATTTGTACTCCACGTCCACAGAGACAACAGGTGTATCAAGATCAATATCAGATGAGCTATAGACATCGTTAGTATTCCAACACAAAACAACTATCAATTGCCCAGTTAAAAGTGCTACAACTGTATGAAATTATAATATCGTTTATTTTGAAAGTATGGCGAATGGGAATGAGTGAACGAATGAGGTCTGACTAATCTGGTCCACCGTAGCATTATATATATGTGCATCCATTAAAGTTGATTTTAATAACATGCAATTTTGGAAGCCGAGCCGTTTGATGTAATATTTACCGATAATATATATCGATAGTATTGAAAGAAATTAATCGAAGTTCTGGTATTCAATAAATTATTTAAATCATAAAATTACAAAGGTAACTAAAGATATATGGATATATTTACAAATAGTAGTCTTTACCCATCTCAAGTCAAACTTTCTGGATCATTCATTGTCGACCTCGTTTTCAGATAAATAATCCTTATATATACTATAAAATTCTTGTACAGGATTTCCAGCCCAGCAGCCGCGATAACAATTGCAGCAGAAAATATTGCACTGTCCAATTCTACAGCAGGGATTAGGGGTATTGAAACCTCCGCAAGTCTCTACTTTACATTTCCAAAAATAGTGAAATGCTGGAGGAAATTTTGTATAACTAACTTCTCCTACACGAAGTAAAAACTTTGTGCTTCTACAGCATTCTGTGTATGCAGTCCTCGTCCACAGAGACATCAGGTGTATCACAATCAACGACAGATTTACGACAGACATGATTACAATTCCAGCTGATATAGACCTCTGAATTTCAAGTGAATGAGAGTGAGCCTAGGTTAAATGTGACGAAATTATAATCGAGTTTATTTTATAAGTGAGGCGAATAGGGATTGCAGCAGAAAATATCACAAGATCCAGTTCCACAACAGGGCACAGCCTTGTTTAAGCCTCCACACATCTTTGCCTCACATTGCCTACACTTGTGCTCTATACAGCAGGGCGGAGGATCTTCAGTTCCACACGCATCTGTATCGCAATGTCCACCCTTCTCATATGCAGGATATAAGGCTTTACAAGGATAGTCACAACTTAGACGAAATGTAATTGTCTGTGGACGACAGCATAATGCTCTTGCACTCCACGTCCACAATGAAATCAGTTGCGTTAAGATCAACGTCAGATGCGATATAGACATCGTAATCCAATTTTACATGAATTCAAAACGTTAGGTCTTTTAATATAAACCTATGCTGAAATGTGACGAAATTATAATCGAGTTTGTTAAGAAGTGAGACGAATGGGAATAACGGAACGAATAACCTGTGACTGGACAGTTATAAATTTGGACTGCGTACATACATACACATACATATACATACTTCTCACATTTTCAATGGGTTCAGGGTATAAATATACTATATAAATGTTATTTAACATGTATTATTTTTGTTGAGTTGCATGGCCACCTTTTAGGCATAAACCTTTTCGAACCCAAAAGTATGCGTCACTAAAAAGACTTGGCGATGTTAGCATAACAGTTTGTAGGAAATATACAGTGCTATTCGTTCACCTGTAATGAGCGGAATAAGTTGCTTCGATCGATGATAAGATATGCAGATCCATGATAAGACGTGCAGGACAAGGCATTGGGCTTATTGAGATAGCAAGGCAGTGTAATCAATCATCAGACTCGGAAATACGTAATTAATTGAAGGAGTCTTTCATACGGAAGTCTTACACCGCTCTTGACACCCATTATGGAGTTATTAGCACCTCGGCTGTGTCATAAATCGAAGTGAAGCAATGAGTGATGGGACCTCAATAAAATGGTCAATCAATTCGTCAATTAAGAGCACTTTGTCTACTGTTAGATGGCCACCCGAACAGAGAGTTAAGTGGACTCCGGCTGTTAGAAAGGCCCTAACTCATTCCTTTGCACTTTTGAAGACGATCTAGCAGCATTAGTAGCGGCAACATTGGAAGCAAAAAATTAGAAAAACCTGAGATCGTAAACCGGTTAATTTAATTTATTTTGAAAGTATTTTAGTAAATTTGCGTATTTGCGGTCATAAAAAAAAAAAATAATTAAAATAAAATACAATACAATAAATAAAAATAGAATAAAATCACTAGCTCCAAATATCAACTAAGTTAAATTTATAAAATAGTATGTCTGTCGAAAATACAGTAAAAACGAGTCGGACCATCTCTCTTTAAGCTATTGCGCATGCTATAAATTCCGGACAGCTTCCGTATGCAAATGGTACACAGCTCTCATAGAGACAAGTACACACAGATCTTCAATTGATTTCGTGATTAATGATGGCTAACTACCAGTCGGATGTCGGACATCGGACAACGGACATCGGATGTCGGACGGCATTCGCAGCGGGCAACCGTTTGTCTAATAACGAAAATAAGAACCAATTTTTGTGCATTGTTCGACACATAAAGCGTTCGTATCTCTGCAGCTCTATATGGGGTTTTGTTGAGCTGTGAATGCTATAATTAAAGTCATGCTTCGATATGGCGTATCATTCACAGACCTTGGCCCCACAAATATTAAACATTACCATACTCAAGAGTGTATCTGTTTGTTGTTGTTTTTTTTTTTTTCATTTACAAAATAATTTATTTTCCATTTTTTTATTTTATTTATTTTTTTGTTATTTATTTATTTTGGAGTTTTCAATTCAACAATAACTAAATACTTCGATATCGATTCAATCTCGATTTCGCTTTCCGAACTTCATTTGTCTCTTTGTACTTTTGATGTTTAGTGTTTGTATCGTGAGCATTTCATGCTAAGAAACGCCTTTGATTAGGATTTGGTTAGATGCGATAGTTGCTGAAGAAATTGTTTTTGTTTTTGTATTTATGATTTGTTTTCTTTCGTGTTTTGTATTGAATGTGTGCTTGGGTTAATGCTAACGGTTGCGATAGCAGTTCCATTTGTGTCGATAGTAGATGGTAGTAGTAGTAGTAGTAGTAGTAGTAGAAGAAGTAGTAGAGGTGGTGGTAGGAGTAGGAGTGGGATTCAGGAACGGAAGCAGTTGGATGGGAGGGCAGTGAAAGAGATGGAAAGAGAGAGAAGAAATATTGTATGTAAATAAAAAACATCCAAATACAAATTAGAAATCATATAGAAATTAGATATATTAAATAGACAAAAGTTAAGTGCTAGGCATCGCCCCTCTTTAGTAGCGACGCTGGCGATAGACGCGCCTTACATAGACTGGACGACGATACTGATAGCCGGCCTGGCTGCTGTACGCATGACCTGCCACCTGCTGCGGCTGGACGACTGGGGCCAGATACTGGGCGCGCTGCTGGATCGGCTGCTGGGCATAGACGATCGGCTGAGCCACGGCAATGGGGCGGGCAACGGGACGAGGCAGTCCAATAACTGGACGGGGCACTGGGGACACAGCCAGGGGCCGTTGGGCGACTGGACGGGGCGCTGGGGCGGCTGGTAGCGGCTCATCGATGTCTATGTACTCCGGTTCGGGTGTCGCAATGTCCTGCGGGTTGGGTCCCTGTGTGGCCGAATCGGGCAGCTGCGCAGCGGTCGCACAGCCAAGCAGCGCCAGAGCAACGAACACGAAGAATTTCTGCCGGAAACAAGAGCAAATATTGAAGTACACTTGGAATCTGATTGGTTCTCGCTGTTGGCTCGTTTATATTTAGCATCAGCCTGGGCGCGAATGGAATGCAGACGAGTGCCCACTCGTGCCTGTCAGCTGGCAATGAAGTCGTACACTTGAACTGGAAGCACTTCAATACGATTCTTTTTCATACACACACACACACGCGTACGTGTGTATATAAAAATATAATTTAATTTTTTAATTCATTTATTTTATTAATTGTTTTTTTGCACAATTTCTTGTCATTGATCCTTCATGCACTCTGAGCACTCGTCGTTATTCCTGCGAGGATCACATACCATTTTGTTAAACTTAAATATGTTTTCTGATTCGTTGGGTTACGCAAAAATTTCTCGTCCAGAAGCGCACGAGCAATTTACACTTAAGAAGTTCAAAGCACAAATGATGATGAGCTGGGCTGTTTCTATGAAATTTATACTATATCTGGCCCGTCCGGTTCGCTATGTGGGTCTAAGAGAAGCAGCGTAAAGCGACGACCGCCAAAAAAAACATACATATATACATATAAGAAACTCACACAGACACACATATATGTTGTTTTAAATAAAGTAACAGAAACAGAAACAGCAACAGCAACAGCAACAACGGCCAGTCAAACAACAACAGTAACTTTTAACAACATCAAACAAATTCAAATCAAAATTTAAATTATATAACCAATATCATAAGGTTGGGTAGAAACCGCAGCTAGAAGGGGACGCATGCCCGAGCATCTGCCGAGCATTGATAGACAATCACAATCAGAGTCAGAGTTAAAGTCACAGTCGCAGTCGCAATCACCATCCCAATCACATTGGTGTCGTCACGAGCCGTGACGCATCGACAGCAAATCAAAAAATGTAAAAAATGTCCAAAACAAAATAAGATAGCTTGATCATTTAAGAGTTCAACTCGATCACACACACGTTGACACACTCTCTCTCGCTGTCTCACTCACTCAGTTGCTGCTTCTCTTTCTCTGGCATTCTCGCTTCGTCTCTCTTAAGTGCTGCGCTGTGCTTGGCACGGCTCGTGGCTCAATTGAAGTTCGTTGCCTAAGTCTTTTGTATTGTTCTTGATCTTCGCTCCAATTTGCATAGCAGTTTTGAAGAATAATATTTTTGGCCAACTCTCTTATGAAGTATAGCCCTCTAATTATGCAGACACTTTGACTATTTTTATATTATGATTTAGTGCCTCATAAATCTGCATAATTAGGGGCGTGCCGCCCATGTTGTCACACTCAGTCACAACTGGCTTACAGCTGGCATCAGGTTGATCTGTTATAACAACATCTGATGTGATGTGTCGAGTGTCTTGCCCGTCCAATTGTTTGTCAGCTCACTTGACCTCTGCGGCACACTAATAACAATTTAACGGCTTTCAAGCAAACAAATATCATTTCCGTTTAAAAGATATAAAATTGAAGAAGCAAAAAAAAACAAAAACCGAATCAAAAACATTTGTGTGGGGGAAATACATTCACCTGGCATGAGATCTAAACTATTGAGCGTGTGATGGTGCTGCTTTTGGCATCAAGGCCAGAGCGGAGGAAATGCCACTGAGTTGTAGTTGGCCTACAGAAAAGGGCCGAGCAGTGCAGCCATTTTGAATGGAGCCATAAAAGTGAGCTAGAATTCCATCCACTGGTTTTCTCATTCTAATCGGGTGTGACATCATGCCGCCTTTCACTTGCTCGGCGGCAATTGTGCGCCTTGATTAATTGAATCATTGTCATCGCCGAGCATGAGCAGACAAATTCTAAACAAATAGCCAGTCAACCAGCTGCACACAGTTTCAACAACAATTTATCGATATTTTTACGGTTATTAGAAAATTGAAAAGTAATTAATAACGACTTTGTTGGCATATTAAATTTCAAGTCAAGAAACCAAGCAGCGATCAATCTACCATTAGCTATGGATCTAAGCGATGCGTTGGTTGCGTCAATATTTTTGTTGTATTTATTTCTTCTTCTTCTTTTTCATATTTTCAACTTTGTTTTGTCTATTGTCGTTTTATATGGAAAACCAATCGAAGGCAGTCGCCGTTGCATCGGTATCAACCGCTTAAATCTATGGCAGGGCGTGGCAGATTTATTGAGTTGTTGTGAATTGAATAAAATGGCATTTTAAAAGAAATATAACCCATATTTATTTATTTTATGGCAACAATCATCTAATGTGTATATATGTTTATCATTTTATGTCTGCCATCTATGGCCGCGCACCGGAACCAAAAGCACCAGTTCGCCAGCCAAATTAGCATAGTAGCAGCAACGCAAAGAACCGGTACGAACCAATCACACAATCATAGAAAAATAGAATCAAAACTCGTGAGCCGCCTGTGCCCGTGCCTCAGATTTATGGAGTCAAAAGTGTCGCATCATTAGCTGAGCGCACTAAAAGCTGCTCGAATTGAATCGAAAACGAGTGGGGAAGAAATCTGAGCCCCCGAAATGAAAAGAAATCTCGAAGCCTCGACTTCCCAACTTAGTTGATTATAATGTTTAGAGCGAGGCGGGACAATAGCTTCAACTATTTTTTTGAATACACGTGTATAGATAGCATATGCGACCTGTTAGCCAAATGCCAACATGCCAATATGGCAATAAGAACAATAGAAGGAGCATTAAACCATACATGAATTGCTGATGTTGTTGATGCTGATGCTGATGCTAAAGTCGAGTCAAACAATAACCGATTCCCACGTCTACAAAGTTTGCCTAGAGACACGCCTCGTTCTACGACGGCTGCCGGTTGTTTTCGCTTTTGATTTTGCATTTGAATGAGCCGTGTAAATACCAACAAGTCTTAGAAAAATTTGCATTGGTCGAGCGCGGGCATCGAGCGGTTTATCTCTATTGTCAACAGTAATGGGGGCTGCGTTTGTTTTTCTTTAACATTTCAATCGACACATGTTGCGGCGCACAAGGCGTATACGCAATGCCAAATTAAGTTGCCAGTTTAGCGCGTCTTCTTTGCATCGCATCTTTAGCATAAATTGACAATTGACTGCGACACACAAAAGCCCATAAACTAAGCGAAGCTGCAAAAATTACACATGATTTGAAATCATGCTGCAGTCTTTGCCAGCCTTGGCCAAAAGCAATTCAAATTAAAATTCTTTGGCTCGCGAATTAGCCAAATTGTTGGTGTTGTGACAAGCTGCTCTTAGCCAAACATAAATACATTATTGTTACTGTTGTTGATGTTGTTGTTGTTGTTGTTGTTGTTGTTGTTGCTGCTGGCCCGCTCCTGTCAGCCACTTTAAAGTGATTTTGTCAAGTGTCCAAAACAATGAATCGTAAATAACTGACATGTTTCCGCACATTCACCAACGCAGCAGCTCGCATTAGCATTATAAATATTCAATTAAATATGAATATACTGAAGCAGAAGCCCCAACAACGAACTGCTTTATACACTGACTCAAAGTGGAAGTTGATCACATTATAAGGAGAATTAATATACTCCAAATATACTCCAACAAAATAGCTCAGTGCATGTCCTTGGCCTTTAGTATATAAAGTTTAGGAATATTTTATTTAAATACATATAAACAAGTTTTGAAATATTCTTCCAATTTTTTTGCAATATTAATTATGAAATATTTATTCAACACATGATTTTTAATTGAAAAATGTAGATAAAATATATATTTGAATTTTATTCTATTAAAAAAGAAATGATAAACATTTTATTTTACTTCAAATTAAATTATAAATTGAATGGAGCCCAAATGAATATGTATTCTAATTGCCGCTAATGCTCATTTATATATTTATATATATATTTATAATTTACAAAACTGACCAAAATTATATTTTTCATATTATAAATGTATTTCTACTGTTCATTAAAACACTCAATTTTAAGCAGAAACTTCGAGAGCAGATCAACTCTAACCAGATTTTCGTATGTAGTGTAAATTCAGTTCGCCTCACTCGCATACATAATCAGAGCAAGTCGTAAAGATCTTAAAGTTATTAGTGTATTTCATAGAGTAGGCATTTATTTTAGCGAATGGATAGTTAGGCAGACATGTAGAATGTGTTGAGCACTCGAGTGATTTATAAATGCTTCAATAAAGTTGATTTAAATAGCTGCTCGAGCAAATAAACAAATGTTACGCATTATTTCCGCCTCCGCATTCAGCTCATCATCATCGTGCATTTGGCAAGTGTTTCAGCCAGTTGATCCAGTGGAATAGTTTTGAATTTATATTTCTTGTTTCATTCCTCCTTCAAAATGTCACAGTCTTAATTTGCCCATTCTCGTTCTCGTTCTATTTGTCGTTCTCGCTCCCGTTCCCATTCCCATTCCCATTCCCATTCTCTCTGGCGACACGCGCGCTGTGTGAAAGTTCGAGTCGGAGATGCTCAAATTTAATTGGCAACACAGAATTCATTATGCAAATGAGACGTAGATCGAACGATCCAAGCATAGAACAGCGAGCCAGCACCGCTAAGCCGAATCTAATCGTTATTTAACTTAGTAATTAGCTTTTATATATATACATATATATTTAGCTTCAGAAATAAAAAAAACATAATAAAACTTGATAATTATAATGGCTGCTGCCCGTCGGCCAGACGATTCAGCGATGGCCAAAGCGCTCAACAATTTGCTTAGACAATTTGGCACCTTTATCTCGGTTTCATCTTCTATTGACTCGTGCCGCCGCCGCCGCCGTCGCGATTCTATGCGATGATACTTTGAACTTTTCCACCGCAGTAATTGACAATTGATTGGGGGCTAGATGCTAGATGCTTGGAACTGAAACTCGTTTGATCTTCATTCATATTTGGTGTTTTGGCGGCGACAAATCTAGTTCATAGCTAAACATGAGCTGCTACTGATAGCTATCGATCGAACTCGTTCTCGCAGCACTTAGGCAAAAACTCGTTGATTTAAATGTTTATACTTATTTATCAGCCATTCGAGTTAATTTGCACAAATGCAAATGCCTTTATCTTGATCTAAGCAAACGAGAGAGGCGAGAACCCGTTTTCAGCTCTTGCCCAAAGCAGACACGTGACGTAGTGCGCGGACAATGCGAAGAACTGATCCCGCCACTAAGTCTGGCTGAGATCGAGCTGTGCTGTAAAAGTTCTAAGCGGTGTCAATGGCCCAGCTAATGGCGGCTGTAAAGGTATATGTATGTGTGTCTGTGTGTGTATGTGTGTGTGTGTGTGAATTAAAAGATAAGTAACTGCTCTGACATTGTTTCGCTTTAGCTGCGCTTTATTTGGCTAAGGCTTTGTCTGTGCATCTTATAAATGACTTGAATGCTGTTGCTACTAGTGATGCTGCTGCTGCGTGTGTGTGTGTGTGTAAGGCCAAGGTCAAAATTTGTAAAGAGATTGTAAACATTGGATAATTTAATTTTGGTTTTGTTTGCTTGTTTTATTTATTTTTGTTTTTGTTTTTTTTTTTTTTTTTTGTGGTTTTTTTCAGTTTGCTGCTCGCTGCCTCATTTGCATTTGATTTGTGTTTGACACGTCTTATGGATTTTTCTTTGACAAGTGCCTGTCAGTGGCTGGAGGCCCTCACGGCGCACGACCCACATTGTAGCCACATTATTATTAATGTTGTTATTGTTGCTGTTGCTGTTGCTTGTGCTGTTGTTGGTCAGCTCCAGTTGAACCGCTGCACAACGCACATTTGACGTGCCGTTAATTGTTTCACGACTCGATTCAGAGCAGTAGCCGGTTTCCGGCCCGTCGACAAAGATTTTAACAGCATTTGCGTGACAAAAGCCACCCAGAGGCATTATGAATGGTTCACTCCAAATGTACTATATACATAAATATATTTATATACATATATGAATATATGTATATATATATGTATGTTTATATGCGTGTTACTACCCATACATTTGTCAATGATTAGAGATCTGTGATCTGCTTGGGCTTTGTAAATATTTTAATTGAATTTTAATAGCTCAACAAAGTGTTTTAGTGCACCTTGATATTATGGAAATCTTTGTTGGAAGACAAAGAAAATCAAATCAATTGCAAGCGCTTATGGGCCACCCGCCCTACATCTTTGTCCATCAATGTTATTCTCCTCAACAATGGCTTAACTAATAAGCCGTTGTTCACAAGCGCCGGGAATATGCTCATAAATAATTGCCAATTTTTCGGTTGTTGTTTAGTTTTGTTGTTGTTTTTGTTTTTATTATTTTTTATTGTTATTTATTTTCTGCCGCTAAACGATTTTGTTCGCGCTTCGTTTATAATTCGTAGTTTGCGGCTGCCAATTCTCATTGTAGTTGTTGTTGTTGTTGTTGTTGCTGGGAAGAGCTACTTAGAAATGATATTGATTTATTCGCAATCACTTGAACGCTCAGAAGGTTAATTGTGGTTAAACGTCTATAAAATCAATTGATTAATTTGCCGGTAATGCGCTGCAATTGTGCAGAATGAGGCGCGTGAGCGTTTCTATTTCTGTTAATGGAGCCGCGGGTAGAGGGGATCATAATTTGCTTGATATATCGGTTAATAACAATTCGATAAGGAAGTGGGCTGCATTCATATAACGAAATTAGTTTCACTGTGAATAGAGTACAAAAATAGCCGTTTAATGGCTATCGAGGCCTTGTCTCTTATATATAGCTTAGAGAACTTATTCCCGGTGAGAAACAATTGATAGAAGAGAAAAGAAATTACAAAATTATTTCTGTATAATCAGCTCAACATAACATGAATAACTTATCATTAATAAAATACGTTTTCAATATTATACAGTGGAGTCCTGAATATTCTGATTTTTTTCGATTTACACAGCAACTCCAATTAACAAGAAAAATTTATTTCAAGGCGATAGAATTTTTGTGGATTTATCGCAGACAGCTCTTCCAATTCACACCATGCTCCAGCATTGTCTTAACTGCTAAAGACAATGCTAAATCCGATTTCTTAACAAAGCCCAAAAACTGAAACATGATGAGCAATCTGCTGCTTGTTAATTTGTAATTCAATTTTATATTCAGCCGTTAAAGCTTTATCGTCGAATTAGCTGAGGCATAGCTGGCACAATCTGTCGACATAGACTCTCAGACTTTGAGTGCGTGTGTGTGTGTGTGTGCTTTAGATAAGCGTGTGAGAGTTGCTCATCAAAGGGCCAAGGTTACCAGATTTTTTTAATATCCGTAACGGCGAAGTAACAAAATTTACAAAAATTTGTTGAGTCAATAAAGTTTAAACATTTTATAATTAGTCTTCAATAAATAGCTAATATTAATATCAATAAAAATAGAATAGGAATGAGAATTATAAACAGAAATATTCATTTAAATATCTATGTATATGCAAATAAATGCAAATGCTATTTAAATAATATTCATAATCAAAATAAAGAAGAACGTGTAAAAATATTAGAATGAAAATATACTTAAATAATATTATGTAAACAAATGTTGGGCTGTAGTATGGGCTTTAATTTATTTGTTGTATAGATTTGGTTGTAAATGGGCTTGTATAATCAACCTTTAGAATGTGATTTCAATTGGAATTGGTGGCATTTCATCTCAGCTCGTTTACTTTATGGTCTCTGCCACATTATTATTAATTAATAATGTTAATAGAAGCTGTTATATCTGAGCATTTCCGCTTAACATATTGATTAACGGCTTCGCACCTGTAGTATTTTACTCGAGTAGCTTTTAACGATTCATTCATTCATAATAATTTTCTATGTTCGAAACAAGTTCAGCTTCGAAACAGCTCAGAAACCAACCTTAGCAGAAACTTTAACAGCTGAACAAAAGCTTTGCCCCATCCTAATTCCGCTGCATACGTTTAGGCTTGAGCTAAGCCAGACTTGCCGCAGCTCAATCCGAAATTGAGAAAATATGCTCAATCATGATTGAGCTAAAGATTTTCATGCGTGGCTAGCTTTGCAGCATATTTTTTTGTTTGTTGCCTGCTGCTGTTCGCTCATATGAACGGACTATTTCATATAAGTTATAAGCCAGGCCCGTCTACACAAATCATCGTACGCAATGTTTGTTTGTGTGTTAAAAAAATGTAAAGTGCGTTGCTGATTGCCGACTGCCGACTGCCGACTGTTGTCTGTTGTCTGTTGGCTGCTGGCTTCTGTTGTTGGCTTTTTGCCATTTGTGGTGTTTGCTTGGCCAGCCCGAATTGTAGAAATCCACGGAATTCTGTGCCAAGGGCAATTTCGCCTTTGATTGATTTACAAGAGGCGTTGCCCTGCGAAAATCTGATTTCGTTTGATGTTCGCAGCGGGCCAACGTTGCGTATACGTAATTAGAGAACATGACGAAACGATTCTGCCACGCCATCTGGCATATCGATTAAGTCATAATTATAATTTGTCAGCTAACAAATGAATTTGATTGGCTACATGATTCAAAAATAAGAAGCGAGATTAATATGCGCTAAGATAAAAAACATTCTGCCGCTGGCCAAAGATCGATGGATCATAGATGATACATCAGCAGCCCGAAGAAATACTGATTTTGTTTCTTTTTTTCCAATAAGCCAATTTTTGTTTACTGCATTGTATTTATTTACTGTTCAAATTATTTACATTTGCGTGTTAAGCGCTGGCTGACTACGCCGGCTTATGAATAACTTGTTTGGGAAATTACACCCGGATGGGGCTTTGTCTCTAACTGGGCTCCGGCTTGGGATACCTGGTGTCGTTACATGGAATTTGATAAGGTCATTTGATGAACTAATGAACTTGTTCTGCGCCGAGCACAGACAATGAATCTCCAAACTAATCAGCACAATGCGTGCCGAATCTTTTGACATGCCGCAAAAATCTCAATCGTTGTAATCATAAATCAAGCAAAAACGCCAGCTACGAGCTGGCTGTCTGCCACAAGCTGCAGCTGCAGCCACAAAGAGACGTCAAGCTAACAGGTAGGAGTAGCAGAAGCGAGCATACACGACGGCCAGATGCCTAGCGGTGTGTCATCAACGTATGTGATCAGTTCATATGATAAAAGATTACGTATACGTGCCGTATTTCAGGTAGAAAATAAAGGCTTATATTATAGATATGTAGACTTCAAAAATTCGATATTTAATTACCGAAAATAAACATTTATCGACTCTACTGGAAAAATCATTTATAAAAGTTTAGTCCATATGGTGAACAGTTTTTGCCGATTCTCAGCTCAACTCTTTGTCAACCATCAAACCCTATTCCTGCCCATTCTGCACAGGGTATCAGCAAAATACATAAATCACACCCAAGAGAGACACTCGTTAAGACGTTAATCAAAAGCAATCCAGTGGGTCGCGGCGAAGGGCGCGTGTCTTCGTCAGCTTCCAGCATCCCAGCTCTGTGTCCAGCTGCAGCTACAGCCGTAGCGAAGGCCAAATGCCACTAATGCTTATGTAATTATGTATGTGTGTGTCAGTGTTGGAGTGTGTGACAAAGCCCTGTGGCAGCCAGAGCATTGCACAACCAGTTGCAGTTGCAGTTGGAGTTTTTTCTTCTTTTTTTGGGCGCCAAAATGCGAAGCTTAATGAACAAAGCAGCAACAATTTATTGACTAAGCGCCTGACATATGAACAGATTGACTAAGTGACTGAATGACTGATGGACTGATTGACTGATAGACTGATTGACTGATGAACTAGCTGACAGCCGGTGGGAATTGAGTCGTCGTCATTGCCGTCGTCGCCGTCAGCCGCATCATTGAGAGTGACACAAGTGATTCGCTCGACTCGCTTCTATTGATTTTGTCGCCTTGAATGCGTGCCCAAGTATGGCGCTAACAGCCTGCACCACTGCACCACTGCACCACAGCGCCAGAGCACCACTCTAGTGCTATTTGTGGATCTGTGTATTTATGGATTTGCAAAGCAATTCTGATAAACATTTTGCTGTTTCAGTTTCCGCCTATGCCTCGCCATTTACGTGGCAGCCATTGCACCGCTGATTGAGTTGACCCGACCCGCTGCACCACAACAACAACTGCCGGCCGGCGGCTGTTAATGCACTTGAACTGTTGATATTTTCAGCTAGCATCTCGCCATCCGTCTCGAACGCGTCAGCAGCTGTCAAAAACAAAGAAAAACAAAAAAAAAAAATCAAAACGGAGGCCAACCACTGGATGAACCACCGACAAAATGTGCTTCTCGTAATTGGTTTTGGTGTTTAGATTTTACTTTATTTGGAAGCGACGCTTTACAAAGGTTTCTTTACAATGTGTACCCTAAAAAGTCGAGCGGGTGGGTGGTTGTGTGGGGGAGGGGGAGCTCTAGCAATTGGGTCCAGAATGCTTCACGCTAAGAATACTAAGAGTGTGTAAGTGTGTGTGTGCTTTTGCGGTTGGCAGCATCTAGAAGGTAAACGGCTTGGCAGGCTTGTTGTAATTGTAGCCATCGGGTCCCAGCGAACCAGCGTCTGTGGGTGGTGCAGGTGGTGCCGGTGGGCGTGGCTGGTAAGTGGGCGGTGCTGGTGGGCTAGACGGTGGTGGACCATATTCCTGGGTGGGTGGTGCTGGCGGTGCTGGTGGGCGTGGCTGGTAAGTGGGCGGTGCGGGAGGACTAGGAGGAGGACCATAGCCAGGAGTAGGCGCTGGAGGAGCTGGTGGAGCTGGAGGGCGTGGCTGATAAGTGGGTCCGGGAGGTGGCACATAGCTGGGTGTAGGTGCTGGTGGTGCAGGTGGTGCGGGTGGACGCGGCTGATAGGTGGGTGGTGCCGGTGGTCGTGGCTGATAGGTGGGCGGTGCTGGTGGAGCAGATGTCGGTGGTCGTGGCTGATAGGTGGGTGGTGCTGGTGGACCCGATGGAGGCAAGTACTCAGCGCCAGGTTGTTGTGGGCGTGGTGGTTGGGGACTTGGTGGTTGTGGGCTTGGTGGTTGGGGACTCGGGGGCTGAGGTGGCGGACCATAGTCTGGGCGTGGCTGAGGTTGTGGGGGACGTTGAGGAGTGGGGCGTGGCTTGGGTGGCTGTGGCTCATCAGGTGGCAGATATTCCGGACCAGCAGGAGGTGGTGGTGGTGGCTGAGTCTGAGGAGGGCCATAAGACGGACCCGGAGCCGTGGGCTGCGGCTGTGGCTGCGGCTGCGGACGCGGTGGCTGCGTTTGTGGTGGTCCATACGAGGGACCAGGCGCCGTGGGCACCGGTCGTGGTGGCGGACGTGGCGGCTGCGTCTGCGGTGGTCCATATGATGGACCAGGAGCAGTGGGCACGGGCTGCGGTGGCGGGCGTGGCGGCTGCGTCTGCGGCGGTCCATAGGAAGGGCTGGGCGCTGTTGGCACAGGCTGCGGTGGCGGACGTGGCGGCTGCGTCTGCGGCGGTCCATACGATGGTTCCGGTGCCGAGGGAGCCGGTCCGGGAATCAAGCCCGAATCCTCAATGCCATTGCCGGTGGGCGGCGGCGGAAACGGCTGCGACGGCTGCTTATAATGATATCCATCCTCTCGCAAATCCGTGTCCAGATGCGAGACATCCGCTGAGACGCCGGCCGCAGCTAGCGCCGCCACCAGGGCCAATAGAAGGCGCTGCGAGAGGAACAACAAGACGACAAATAAAAACCCTGATCAAGCCGCGAGCACAGCCTCTGTCCACTCACCATGCTGGCTGAGAGATTGGTCGCGGCTGCGCACAGTCGAGCGAAGACTGGAAACGAAACACCAAATGTGAGGCGAGCGAGCGAGCGAGCGAACGAGCGAACGATCGATTGACTTGGAAACTGGACACTGGGTGCAGAGCGAAGCTGGCGACGTCTTCGTTGCAAAATCTGAAAATCGAATGATGCCCAAATGTTCTCCCTTGGCGAATTTATACCACAGCAGCCCCTACGCTAGCTGAGCGGCTCAATGAATGGGGGGGCCGGCAAATGCTTTTCACTCGGCTAACGAGTTTCGACTCAACGACGCGACGCAACGCAACGCGACGAGACGAGACGAAGCGATGCTTGGCTCAGGCGGCGTCATCGTCGTGATGCTGCAACCTTTGTTAGTTGTAGTAGTTGTTGTTGCTGTTGTTGTAGCTATTACTATGCCTGGTAATCATCGACGATTGTAAGTCAATAACAACGCGTACCAGTTAGTTTTTATTGAAGTGCTTAGGGTTTTTATGGCGTTCGGCCCTGGTTAGAAGGTGTTAAACAGGAACCATACAACTATCCAGCTGCTCATCATCAGCACAGATATATAAATATATGTATAAATATAAATATTAAATAGACAAATCAGCTACGCGTGGGTGCGAAATACCTTAGAATTTGCATATTTTTAGATATTCGCCAATCATAGCCAAAGTTGACTAAACAAACAAATCGTGCCTTCAATAAAACGGCAAACGCTTTGAGACATATCTCAGTCTGAGTATCTATGTGTGTATGTGTGTGTGTGAATTTACTGTTATTTATTGTATTAGCCACAATTGTTTAGCTCATTCGAATTGACAGCCGCCCAGCTGGTGCATAAATACTCTGCCAATATCAATTAATTAATAAGCCAATTAGCTAGGCGGGTTACGCGGCGTATGCGCAATGCGCTGAACGCTAAGCGCTGAGCCAGTTTTTCGTTCAGTTCGCGTAGATTTAGTTTGTGTTTGAATACCCAATTGGCAGGTGTATGCATACAAATGGTTATATTGCATATGAGTTGAAATATGTAACAAGAGTGAGAAGAAGAAGTGGTGGTGGATAGGAGAGGAAGAGAGATGAAGAGAGTGGCGTCTGCAGCTCTATATAAAGGAGGGTACTTTGACATGTTGTCGACTGAATATAGTTCTCTCTCATTTATATGCCATATGATATCATGTTTTTTGTCTATTTAAGATGATAAGGTAGAAGCTATTTGTATATCAAAACGATAAATATTGAACAAGATTATAGAAACCTTTACAACATTCGAGTTCTGATAAAATCATGTGTACTGTTAGTATTCAGTTTCTCGCCCATAGTTTTTTCGTTTTGGAACCTTAAATAAAAAAATAATAAAACTAAAATACTGAAGAAAAAGACTATTTCGAAGAGAATAAAATTTGTTGGATATTAATTTTAGTGTCGAGCCTTTTTATAGGGTATTTTTAAAGTCAGTCTCGCACCAGCTTGTATGTGTGTTTGTTTTCTGTTATTGTTTTTGTTTTTTTATTAATTAACTTTGCATTTTTATTGGTTTTCGTGTTGTTTGGCTTTGCTGAGGTGTAGTGTCTACAGGTTTCAGTGTTTGTGTGCTGCTTACTGAGTGTTTACTGTGGCTTTTCATGTTTCATTTTTCTTTGCTTTTCTGTATTTGCATTTTACAATTGAAATCTTATGAGTTTATTTGTATTTTATGGCAATTCATACATAGTTTGTATTTTTGGCTCTTTGCTGTGCGTGAAGCATTTACAAATTGTGTTTAGTTATCTTGTAATCTTAAATACGTTCACTTAACTGTCTAACATAACAAGTTGAAATTACTCCCGCTGTTCTCATTGTTCATTGCGACTTAAACTAAACCAATTCTATTATTCATTAGTCGTACACTTTAATCAATAAAACTCTTGCACAATTCCGCTAGTCGAGTTTGTTTTTGCTTTTTTTCTTTTCATATTTTATTTGGTTGCGATTTATTAACTTTGTTTTGATTTGTTGTGTTTGTTTTTTTTTTTTTTTGTGAATTCTATGCCTAAATGTCGAAGCTTTAATGAGATAATTGTTTTTATTAACGTTTATAGTTTGGTAAAATTTGCATTTGCCAATTCGTGTTTTTGTTTCTTTTCTTTACTTTTCTATTAAATATTAAAATCTAAAAATCCGCTTAAATCGTTTTCGTTTTCTTTTTCTTTTTGTTTTTAAATTTATTTTTATTTTTTATTGTTGCGTTTGCAATGTTTAACCTTTTAGTTGTGTGCCCAGTTGAATGGAGCGTTATGTGGCTTTTATTTTCATTTACTTTCCACGATAGATCTCAATAATGCGATCCTGATCGACATACTCGAAGATATGTGGCGCATCCATCAGAATGCCAATGGTGCCCGCTGTGGTCACTATGAAGAAAATATACAGCTGCAAGCGATCGATCACCATGGCCACGTACTTCCAATCCTCGCGAGTCTGTGGAGAGAGTTGAAAATCGAAAATTTAGAGAATAGAAGATATTGAAACAGCTGATAAAGTTTAAGAAGTTGAAGGTATTGAAAGAGTTGAAAGAGTTGAAATAGTTAAAAAAGCAGTGGAACAGTTTCAAGAATTGAGGCAGTTGAAAGAGATAAGCTAAAGTTACATGAATGTAAATAAAAACCTTTCAAGGCATGCCCTAAGCAACATCCACACTCCACTCACCTGTATGTAGAGATCTTCGTTGCGCAGATGCTCGGCAATAAATTCGACCGCCTCCGTGGCCTTACTGGCCTCGGGCGAGAGCAGTATGGAGTCGGAGGACTCGCTCTCGCGCCGACAGCCATCGCCCAGGCCGAGCTCGGCGCCGCTGTTGACCTTGCGGTTGATCTTGCAATTGGGATGATGCAGATCGGACAGCTCCATCACCTCCATTTTGGACTGCTTGCCGCCGATAGCGCTGATATGCTTGGGCAACTCGGCGGGCGAGCCGTAAGAGGGATGCGGATGGGCGGGCATGCTCATGCCGGGCATTTCCATCATCCAGCGTAGACGGGTCTTGCGCGGACGCTTCATTAGCAGAAAGGCGGGCAGATAGTGCAGGAACACCGAACGTATCCACATGGGCATGCGATGAGTGCGCGGTCCACGGAAATTCCAATTGATGATGATGACCGTGACCAGAATGGACACCGTGTTCATGATGAAGGTGAAGAGCAAGTACTTGGCGATCAGCGGCAGCACCAGCGACGTGGGTGGCAGGATCTTTGACACAAGCAACAGGAACACAACCAGTGACAGCAAAATGCTAATGCCCAGCGTGACCTGCGATCGAAAAATACATATATAAACAGGTCAACCCAAAATCAAATAAGGTTTTGTTCACCTTTTCCCCCGCCTCTGCAGGCAAATAGAAGACAAGCACGCAAAGGAATGAGATCAGCACCGTGGGAAGAATCAAATTGACCGTGTAGAACAGAGTTTTGCGTCGGATGATAATGTAGAATGTGATGTCCGTCTCGGTGGGATGATTGCTGTCGCCCTCGTAGACATTCAGGTAGGCGGGCACTTCGATAATATCCCAGGTGCCAGACTTCCAATAATCCGACAAATCCACAAAGTTCTTATTGTTGTAGAGGGCCAGCGAGACCTGATCGCCATTGAAAGTCCACGAGCCGAACTTCATGATGCACGTCTGCTGATCGAACGGGAAATAGGTGACATCGATGGTGCAGGAGCTCTGGTAAATGGCGGGCGGCACCCACAGCACCTCGCCCGTGGGATAGATCAAGACGTTGGACTTGTAGCGCACCTCGTAGTTGCCATCGGCGCTGGACGGGGGAAGAATGAGAGCTGGATTAGTGGCTGGTATTGAAACAGACTGAACTCCTAAGTACAGTAAACATTCAAAATACATTGTACAGTAGATTATATATATATTTATATATATATATAGAGAGAGAGAGAGAGATAGAGATGGTGGACAGTTTTTTTGGCAGAGTTGAATTAGTAGAGTTAAAGCCATTTACTCACTTATTGAAGAGCACAATATCCGGCTTCCAAACCTTATCCGGGGGCAGTCGCAACACCCCGATTCCGCCGTAGTCAGCCTCATCCCATTGCAGCTGATAGTCGTACCAAACCAAACGTAACCAAACGTTTGATTTCATAATTTGATTTTTCTCATTCTTGGTTTCAATTCAATTTCATTTTGATTTTCGAATAAGTTGATTTTTGATTGAGATTTTTTTTTTTGTGATGATGGTGGTTGGTTGGTTGTGGTGATGGTTTGGTGGTGGTGGTGGTTGTATCAGAGAATCGATCGTTCAATACGCATTACGTTGCGTATACGTAACATATATATTTTGGTATATGCATTGATATATATATATATATGCAGGTATATATATATATATATATATTTGTGATTCGAGCGAATCAATGCGAATATATATTTGTTGGGACAGAGAGAGAGAGAGAGAGACGCATTTCAGAGAGAGAGAGAGCGGGTGGGAAGGTTAAGTTAAGACATTATTTTTTGCATTTGTTCTTGTTGTTGTTTGGTATATATATAGAGTTTTGTTAGTTGTTAATTGTTAAGAATGCAATCAATTGTTTAGTTTACATTTGTTGTTAGTTTAAGTTGTTTTTAAGTAGTTAGTAATCGTAATTATGCTAGGCATGAAGTTTCACTACAAACATACAAATACAAAGTCAAGGCAACACACGTGTAATTTTTAAGTATTTACAAAGCATAAGAACCAAAAATCAACGAAATTTGGCTGGCGGGCTAGCCACGCCCACTGATTCGACATACTCGATATATACCATAGATATGTACATACATACATACATCGCTATATATCTATGGCATGTGCATGCGTGTATTTGGGGGGCGGGGGGCGTGGCTGGGGCGCACTGTGCGATTTTTGGCAGCAACAAAACTCAAGAATTAGTATTATTATTATTATTTATGGAACAGTTTTTACACGCTACTAATAAGTTAGTATTTTTGTATTTTGGTATTTTTTCTATTACTTGTGGTATTTAGTAATTTTAGTTTTTGTTTTTTTGTTTTTTTTTCATAATTTTTGATTGTTATGGAACACTTACGACATTGATTAGCTGTACGAACGCCAAACCAAATCTTACTCCAACTTTTTGTGTCATATTTTGTACGGGTCGTATGAGTTTATTGTAGCCTCGAAAGAGGTCACGCACCAGGCGCTCTTCGTCTTCGGATGCACTGACTAAAAAAAACACAAAACAGAAGAATACACACACAACCAAAAAGAGTCAAATGAAACAGGAAGAAGTAGAGGAAACACAAAATAACCAAAATGAGAATCGAAATTATAAAAATAAAGAAATGGGGTAAGAAGAAGACACAGAATAGGAAAAAAAAACACATAACAAACATATATGAGCACAATTTTTCTTTCTTTAATGTTTGTTTTAGTTGTTGTAGTTTGTTGTTTATGTTTCAAATGAGAGACAGAGAAACAGATAGATAGATAGAGATAGAGAGAGAGAGAGAGAGAGATGGCGAGCCGAAGCTCACCTTTTCTTTTTTGACTAGTTTATAGAGTTAGAGACTTAGCGCCGATTCTTTTAAAAGCTTTCAACTAGGGAAAATTAAAGATGACATTGTTGTTGTATATAAGTGTAGTTGTGCTTGATTGTCTGTTTGGAGCCTACGTTGCGTATACGCCGCATGTGACGCCATTGCACTCAGCAGCTGTGCGCGCTCGAAACGAATTGCCAAAAGCAACTTCCAGCCCGCACAGTGTTCTCTGTAATGCAAGGACCTCTATTGATAATTAACAGTCCTAGAGCTAGTTACAATAACGGTGCGAAACGGGTGTGCTCGACTAGGGGGCTGCCCTGCCACTGCGCTACACACATATGTATATATAAAGGAACAACTCTAAAATGCTTAACTAGATGACAATCGCTGACAGCTACGTTTATCGGACAGCTAAAGAGACGCGAGAGAGAGCAAAGCAGAGAGAGAGAGAGAGTTTTGGTTCGCTCTCTCTGCTGACAGCTGAGCAGAGCTGCAGAGCACATGAGCAGAAAACTGGGATGCGAATGCTGCATGGCAATGTCTCTGCTATATAAAGGTGTGTGTGTGCGTGTGTGTGTGTGCGAGTGTGTGACCGGGTTATGCTTGTGTGTTATATAGAGCACAAACAGCAGCTGCCTATATCTTATATATGTATGTATATATACATATGTTTTACACTTGTCTATAGGGTATTCGCAGAGTTTCAAGTTGCAGTTAAGCTATTTATTTTGATGGGCAGGAGCGGAGCAAGGGAAGTTTACGAATGTGGGCACTTATGAATGTATGTATGTATAAATGTTTTTAGGTGTGTGTGTGTGTGTGCGAGTGTGTGTGTGCTCTAAGTACACACCACATTTTGGAACTTCTGCTTTGCACTAGCTATGTCTAAGCACTTACAGACTACAGATAGATTGATTCCTAGATATATTCGCTAGATTGGACTGCTCAGAACAGAAGGAGTATGAATTAAGATTCGGCAGTTGATACAGAAATCTTTTTGTTTTCTCGATTTTTGTTCATTTTCAGTTTCAATTTCGATTTGGTTTTCATAGATATTTTCGGTTGCTTTTCATGTGTATCCATCTGCTATGCTTGGCAGTACAAAATTCATAATTCGATTTGTATTTTACGGTGAAAGGGAAAAATTTGTTAGTTACAAAAGCAGAGATGGGCTAAAAAGTTTGGCTAAGATTAGGTGGATTGGTATGAAAATAGTTGCTGATTAGAGTATTTAAAAGTTAGGGTATAGGAATTAAAGAGTATATAGATAGAGTATGCTAAAGCATTATATTATATATATATGATTTATAGTTATAGAGTAGCTAAATAGCTAAGAAGATCTAAGCTGCATTTGATATATATTTTTGATAGTTTATAAGAGCGGGTGCTAGGAGAAAGACAGAGAGAGAGAGAGAGAGAGAGAGAAAGAGTCTATGGCTACTAATGATTAGGAGTATATCGCTTATATGGAATATAAAATTTGGAAGAGTTGCATTTAATGATCGGCGCAGTCGTAAATTTTTTGTTAATGATTTTTTTTTTTTTTGGCAGCGCTGCAGCAGCGACGCTTTGGCAAATTCCTCAAGTCTCAGTTCCACAGTCGAGTCGATTCTATGATTATACTTATTCAAACATGGTCGATGTTGTAGCTGTCTAACTATATTAATGTATATATATATATAGATTTACATATATATATATACATATGTACTACAGGCACAGGCACAGGCAGATAGATGCTGGGGCTGAGGCTGAGGTTGGTTGCTGTGGCTAAGGCTGTGGCTGAGGCAGAGGCCGTGGCTGGCTGTTGGCTGTCGGTTGGTTGCTGCTTGTTTTGTTGGCTAATTAGAAGACTTGCGGAATTTGTCAAGGCGTCGCTGCTTGCGCGTTTTGTATTAAATTTAAGAAAAAAATCAAATCATTGCTGTAAAATTTTTGCTAGTTTCTGGGCTTTCAACTGGCTTACAAAAAAAAGTTTATATATATAGAGAGAGAGTTTATAAATTGTTATAAATATAAAGAGTTCACTTGCTTCTCGTTATATAACCCGCCCACAATTAAGGCAAGTACCACAACCCCGCACACGTACCTCGTGCAATCAATAGCAGAGACATGATGCTGCATAGCAGCCAAGTCCTGCCAAATAAATCCATTGTCCTTGCTTCTGGGAGTTGTCTTTCTATTTAATATGCAGGCCTGGCATAGTTAAATATGTATATGTATAGGAATTCTTTCACACTGGCAGCTGGCAAAGAATTACTTTATAAACACTGAGTTTTCAATGCAATACTCAATTTTCACTTTACCTTAGTTTTTCTAAGGTATTTTCTTAATTTTCCACAATTTTTCGGCAACTTTTCTGCGGCCAGGCCGAATTTTCCAACTTGAACTGCGGCAGTTTGGGTGCGGATTAAGCTGAAACTCGTTTTCTGGACTCTGGATAAAAATCAATGCGATGGGAGCAGCATCTCAATGGATGCGCGCAGCAGCTGAGCAGGCGCATGCGCAATGCCTCTGCCGCTCTTCATCTCCGCGAGAGCGGATAAAAGAGACGGCTGCCAGGGTGGCTCTTGTAGTTTGTAAACAAAAGACACACGTTGCTGTTCTCTAAGGGTTGGCCTTGTCCGGCATCAGCTCACAGCTGTTGCTGGCTTTGTTTACCAGCAGAAATCAGAGCTGCCAACACCGCTACAACACACTCGGACAGTGCGTGGGAAAAGTAATGCTCCAATGAGCGCACTTCCTCAATCTAAGTAATTTTCTGTTTAATTATGACACCAGACAGTCGTAAAGGTCAAGAGGGCGTTAACGTTGTTTACGATTTGCTACGCGCTAATCATTATAGCCAGAAGCTAGCATTAATATACTGCGCACAGTTCCTCATGGCGCCGAAATGATATGCAAAATCCGCATCAAAAACTTGTCCCAAGCTTTCGTTACGCACCTTAACTAAAAAAAATAGTAAAGACAAAAAACAGCAGTTGAACAAGCACATTTCGAGCCTCAAATAGTTACACAGTACAGCTTAACTAGTTATGAAAATTTTTAATAAATTATTAGATTTAAGAATAAGACAAATTAATATTTATTTATTTACTTCTGGTTTCCTTCTGCTTCCTGCTAAAAACTGTGCAAATACTCATTAATAATACTTAAAATCTAAAGAAATAAATTAAATGAAGATTTTTAATGAATGTATATGTTTAAAAAAATACATATATTTTATAATATAAATCAAAAATTAAAAAAAAAATTATTATTAAAAAATTAGATAAACAAAAATTTCGATTTATCAATCTAGAAACTTTATTTCAAAATGTTTAATTAGCAAAAAATAAAAATAAAAATAATAATAAATTAATAAAATTGAATGGAAAAATGTATTTTATCAATTTAACATATTTTGTTTTACATAAACTAAAAGAAATCAAAATGATCCACAACTAACAGGCTCTACTGTACGGGTAATATAATTTAATGGCTGCAATCGCTTTTGCGTTCGCTTGACTAGCTTTTAATTGCAAGAACACCTTCCGCATGCAGGCAGTGACAGATGCCAGTGCAATTTGTTGGAGAACAATCGCTTCAAAATGTATTTAAGAAATAAAAATATATTATATGCCTGGAGAAAAAATAAATGTATAAATAAATAATAAAAAAAAAAAAAAATGAAGAGGGAAAAAATAACTTAATGCATGCCATCTAAAGCCGCGTGTTAGACGTTTGGTAATGAAAGCATATTTTTGCATTGCTGATGCCTTCATATGAGCGCATGACAGCGCAATACAATGCAAACGAAAGACTCAGGCCACGAACGTGCCGCATAACAAAAAGCAACAACAACAACACAGACACAAACATGAGCAAACGAAGACAACTTGGACTCTGCCAGAGGTAGCATCAGCATCAGCATCAGCAAAAAGAGAAACAAACGCTAAGGTCGCCAAGCGCGCATAAAAACTCAATCTTTAGCTTTTGTTGTAGTTGGCGCAATTTGGCTGCCTATTTGGTGTCACCACACATCATCAACGGCAGCAGCAGCAGCAGCAGCAGTTGCAGTTGCATCTGTAGTTGAGTCTGACTCTGATAAAAATCACGTTTGGAACGCCAACGCAAATTACATGATATTAATATTTTTCGTATAGCTATTCCATCAAAATTTTCTACTTAATTATTGACTGCATTCGATTGAAACACTTTTCGGGATGCCAGCTGCTTTCAAGGTTGAGACGTGCCGCAGATGGCCTACAAAAGTACACAGATCTGCTTACCTAACAATCTGGGCGTAGCTTTACTGTTATGCATACCTAAGCAAACAATTTGTTTAGTTGTTTATTTTCATTTTGTTTTTTTTTTTTATATTTTTGGAGCATATTTCGCACAAATGAGATGCAAAGAGCTCATCATAAACGTAAGTTTTTACACGCTCCATGACTAAAAAAAAACAAGCGAATTCCAAAGTAACCAGTAACTACACACTTGATTCCTCAGAATTAAGAATGACAAAATTCACAAATTCAATTTTAATTAATCCTTTTTTTTCATTCATGAAGCTGTTAGAGTTGAATAAATATTATTTCAAGAAATTTGTTGGTTTTTTTTGGAGCATCTATTCGATTGACAGCAATTTGTTTTAATGGATTGCCTAATTATTTGGTATAGCATCCGCCTGGCTCATTCGATTTTCAAAAAACAATTAATCATAAGCATAAGACAAATATAAACATATACACAAATGTATGTTTATAATGTCTAAATTGTGCATGCCTCATTCTATGCAAATTGTGTGTGTGCGAATATAATAATTAATGACTGGCGAAGCGTTAATAGAAACGTAATGTGATACCATAAACATTTAGACTGGCTTTTGTGCTGTATTCTGTGTCTGTTTGCTTCTCATAGCTAAATAAATTAATTAGCCAGGCACACTTGCAGACAAAACACTTGTATGAGTTCGTGTTAATTTTTACACCAAAGATTCTTGCGCATAAGCCAAGACTGTAGCCAACAGCAACTGCATATTAATACAAAAGAAAAATATATAAACTGAAAACAAAACAAAAGAAAACAAAAAAAAACAACGAAAAGCAGTCCAAAATGAGCAACTCACCGAAAATTGCACAATTAGCAAAAGTCTACCGTCAGTCGATGCTGCTGCTACTTCTGCTGCTGCTGCTGCTATTGCAGTTGGGCAATATTAAAAGTCCTCAACCATATTAACACTTTGGGCAATGTTTTGCGGCGCGCCGCAGCGCTCAAAATTTGTGTCAAACCCAACAGCAGCAACAACAATGATCGAAAATCATGCAGCAAAGCGCACGACCAACAATAACTGCAGCAACAACAGCAACAACAGCAATAGCAACAGTCACACAAAAAAAAAATAACCCACAACCAAATGGTTAAAATACAGCTTGGCACATAAATCGAACACGATTTGACGCACGCTCAAAAACTTGTGCATTTCGGTTACGGGGCAGCCCCATTTCAAAGGGGGCATGCCAATGAGGAAGTGCAGCAGGTGACACAAGTTAGCTGCCTTATTGCTTCCTCATGGGTGGCACATGCCACAGCATTAATAGGTTTTCAAGTGAACGCCATCTTGCAACTGCCACGCAGTAGAGCAGCGAATAATTGAACAGCCTGAAAGTAGGCAATAGTTTTTTATTTACCTCTGGCAGCAGCTAGCAACAGCAACGAAGAAGGGGCTTAACTAAAAATGAATAAAATATAAATTAACTTAGCTTTTCCTTCATATTTCACCAATTATTCGCATTTTGCTCAAATGCTTAGCACTGCGAATCAATAAATTCAATGAACTGCCTGAAAGTAGGCAATGACTTTTTACTTTGTTTGTGGCTCAAACAAAAGCTGAATAATCTGCACATAAATTAATAATTATTATCGACTCAAGTGCAGCAACTTAGAAATTTTAATTTGCGAGCTAAGAAAAGGAAGAAATTAAAATAAAAATAATCAATGAATAATTTTTAAATAGTACAAATTAACCTCTCCTGCTAAAACGCATTAACAGCATGCGCACAAAAGTAGGCAACGCTTTTTGCTACCTAAAAACTCACCAAGCTCTGCTAAGTATGTTTATAAGTAACTGTAAAAAACCCAACGCAAATCACTGTTAAATGTAATTGTTTATTATTTTAAGACCGACAGCTAACTATGAGCGAACAAAACTTCGTTGGTACATTCTTATTTTGTATGCAATAAAAACTATTTACAAAACTCCAGCAGACCCTAAACTACCCAGCCATATCAATTAGCATTTTCAAGCATGTCAATCATCTGTCAATCAATCTGACCCTTATGCGCTATGTAGGAGTCGTACAGCGTGGACTGCTTGCGTCGCTTCAGCCGAGAGCAGGCTATGAACAGCATCACAGTCAGCACACAAAGCAGCGCCGAGCAGCTGGCCGTTAGAGCCGAGAAGGTTGAGGTCTTCAGGCAGGTCTGATGCGTCAACTGTGGCTTGGCCTGCCGATGCGCATAGACATCGTCGCCATCAGTTTCGCCCTCCTGCAGCACGCGCAGCGACTGAAACAGATTCACGTTCTCCGAGAGCGAAGCCTGCGCCGGACTCTCTGTGGCTTCGACTTCAGCGTCTGACAGCGGCGGCAGCGACAAATTTGTGGCTGTCATGTTGGACGTGTCGCGTTTGGTGACGGCCTTCAAATTGCGCCAGTGACAGGGCTGACTCTGTGAAGAAATGGACAAAAGGTAAGTAAATATATATTGAAAACCGGCTCTGTCATCATCTTACCGGACAACGTCCATGGCACATGCGTACATCGCACTCAATGTACAGCGCCGGTGAGCCCGTAAAGCGGAAAGTTTTCATATATGCATACACCTGCGTCTCGAACACGCCCGAATCCGACCAGGAGCCTCTAAAGCGCGAGATGAGCTTGTCGTCCACGGGACAACCCTGATGATCAATCAGCTGGATGCGCTTGTTAGCGCCATTGTGCGCATAGCAATCATTCACCACTATATCAAAGCCGTCTGGAGGGGGAACATTGGGAAGAACTTTAATATAAGCATAGGAGTTGTATATAATATACATACCATATTTGCTTCGCATATATATGATGAGCGTCAAGGGATCCCCCACACGCACTGGACCAGTCACACGCGGTCCACCAATGCCGTAGCCATTCTGGATCTCCATATAGCACTCAGGTGGGCTGAGGGTGAAGACTACAGGATTTCCCGTTGCAACTCTGTAATATAAAAAAAAAATTGTAAAATTGTAAAATGAATCAATGGCAGACGAGATCAAGTAGATCACCTGATCGGATAATCCTACTACATAATGTATGTATATTCATATCTTCTAAAAGCTATACTTTCTTCCATATAATATCTAAATTCATAAATCAACACAAATCAACATCAAAAACTTACTCG